CGCAGTACATCACTATAAGATAACTAAAAACATCATACACATAATACGCAGTACATCACTATAAGATAACTAAAAACATCATACATATAATACGCAGTACACCACTATAAGAAGCCTAGTCTTGGTTTTTTTCTTCAATTTGCACATTTCAGGCTAACTGATAAGGGAAGAAATTCCCCAAAGCCAAGATAACTAAGTGTAAATGGTGAACCAAACGATAGATTTGGTTTCATATCGATTTTTAGTATTTTGCTTTATTTTTTTAAGATCACTACGTGACAATGCTATTTCAATACACTGATACATATTCCCAGAACATGATCTTTCAAACAATCAACACAAATCTAAATGAATTAGGCACATGATTAACAAAGTATTAACTGCTTACTTTAACTTATAATGCATGGAGTTTAAGAAGAATCAACTTTCATCCCCATATTCAAACTTCATTCATAGGTTAGACTATAGGCTTAAACAAGCAGTCAAAACACAACTTACAAAAATATCAAATGGCTACTGCTCACTTTAAATGTTAAGACAAAGGAACCTAAAAACTACCTGAGTTGGTAATATTATTGAAGGTTCAAGAGTTTCTAAAAGTTAGTTTTATAAAAGTCCTTACCGTTCTCTCCAGAATCCTTTTAATCATGTTTTACAAGGACAAACCTGGCTTTATGTGTTCCAAAACTAAATGCACAAAGCCAAATTTGTACTTGAAACACACCTCAAATGAATGGTGTGTATCCACTGAGAATTGAACACTAGGGTATACAGCTGCCCCTAACCCTTATCCAATATGGCAAAAAAATTAAATATTCTGTTCTTGTGTATTTTCAAAACAGCAAAAGTTAGTGTTACTTAAGCATCCTAACTAAGAAGGTTTTAGTCAAGTAGCACCTTCTTGTACTACACACTCGTGGTTGAATATCAACCTTTAGATGGAGTGTAAGCATGCGACCAGTCCTTAAGATTAGAGACCAGCCTGAGTGTTGTATAAGCATGGAGAGGAATCCTTGGACAAGGTATAAGTGTCTATACCAGTCTTTGTGTTGAAAATAAGCATGGAGAGGAACCCTTGGACAAGGTATAAGTGTCTATACCAGTCTTTGTGTCGAAAGTCAAAGAAACTGTTATTACTTCGTTGTATCCCACCCTGTAATTCAAGGTATCACAATAAAACCTTAATATGAAAATATAAACCCTGAGAGTACTAGCTAGAACTAAAATTCCAGTTTAACGTTACTTTTTTACACACAGAACTAAATCCAAAATAATAACTCAAGTGACAATAATATCAATGAATGAAAAAGATCTTGTAAAAGTCTTCAGTTTAACTGAGGTACATTTTTGGGGGTGGTATTACAGTTACGGCCACCTATACAATTAAAAACGTTACTCCATATTTTGTAAAATATATTTACAAGGCAGAGAGTGCCGAGTAAAAATTTGCTGGTAATTTGGAAAGGTTTTGATAATTTAAGAACTTTTATTATTGATTTATCTGTCAATTCAATGTATATATATACAAGTGTTACGTCCAATTTGTAAGTCAGTGGGAAATGAAGGTCATTTTTGGCCCTATATTATATTTCTATGTGATTTGAGAATCTTAGAAAGGTTTTGATAATTGAAGAACTTTTATTATTGATTTATCTGCCAATTCATTTTTTGGAACTAAATGCAACACCTGAGAAAGAAAGCCTTGGAACTATTTGAGTGTTTTAGGTTTATTTCACATGGTCGTCAAAAATGTGAATGTTAAACGTGCAGTTATTTATCGACGCAGCTGAACCTGGGGTATAATTAGCTGTTACCTTAACCCCATATAATGCGAGAAATGTGAAGGATTATATTCAAATGGGGAAGATAGCAGCAATTTTATGTTTTTTTTAAATTTCTGTTGTTTTTAAAAGTGATTATTTCACCAATTAAGTAAAATACTGTCTGAAGAAAAGAAATACAAATTTAAGCTAAACGAAGATAGCTTTTGATCAGTCAAAATTAGTTTGATATTGTTTTGTTAGTGACTCACTTGAAATTTCAACTGTTTGTTTGACAGCTCAGAGCCTTGATCTTTATGAGAAACAGTATTCAGAATTGTCTGGAGCGATAGCTACTTTAAGCAACTCTCACTCTCAGCACTTGGAGATGTTTGGAAATAAGGTTACGGAGGAAGGTGAAAAAGAACAGAGGTGGGCCGAGGAAATATTGAGAATACACACCAATCAAAAGGTGATTATCAAACTACTGCTGCGGTACAAAGTGTTTTTATGTATTTATAAAATGCTTGTTCTTGCGTAATACAACACATCTTTGATTGTAAATGACGACTTGTCAGATAGTGAATCTTCTGAACAGTTATATTAAGCCTTCCTTGTTGGTCCGCGTCAGATTGATAACGAATAACTGTAGAATTCCAACTTTTAAGGTAACATACTCGTTAACGTGGTGTTAATATGGCGCTTGTGTTTATAAGATTGGGAAAAATGTAAAAATTAAGATTGTATTTTTTTTCTTGAAACAACGGTTAAAAACATCTTCTAGTAACAATGAAGATCTGAGCTGTGCAAAAATAAAATAAAACTTAAAAAAAAACGTTCCAAGTTGTATCGTACTGTTTGTTAAATGTGGTAGTGTGCAGCAAAGGAGAGAGTAGTAATACAGAATGACCATGGCGTTCTTTGGTCACTTTGATTTTTGTCGCCGCTTGGAAATGGCACAACATATGGATATGAAATTTAGGGAACATAATAATAATAAATGTTGTCACTCACCAGAGGGCGTATTTGAAGTCAAAAGTTGTATAATTAATCAAACAAAGATGCTGAAGCACAATGAAGTCAGTTACTTGGTGCTAGCTAAAAGAAACTCACTTTGATTCCACCTAAGAAGGCACGTTGAGAGACACAATCCACCACAAAGCTGCCGGTATTGCTCGGGAGTTGTAGTGATTGACTGTTTGCAGCACCGTTTCTCAACTGGATGCTGTAGTTGAGAACGAACGTTGAACAAACAGTGTAGAAACACGTGCCCTGGTGGCAATGTTTATTAATTTGTTTTTTTATTGTTGTCCGTGTTCCCTAATATCCACTTTCATACATTTAATTATCTCCTAACTGTGTCGCTGTAAAGTGACCACTAGGACGTTATGGTCACCCTTGTCTATATTGTGACAACATACTATACAGGCAAATGAATATACAAAGAAAGGCAAAAGTTTCAATCTGAATTTCAATATGATCTTTTTGAACTCGACCCTATGTCTTCACCAAATAAATATATGATGCTTAGCTAATTTGGAACGACAAAATTGTTCTTGTGATTTCTGTTAGTTCAGGATATGAGGAGTGGATTTGTTTTGTGACAGAAAATGATAAGCTTTTTTTTCCTTCAGGATTCTGCAGTTAGCAGCCACAGAATGTTTGTATCAGAACATTTCATCCCGCAGGTTGGGGTTCTAAATAACTTGCTTCAAAAACAGCATCTGATACTTCAAGAACAAAGCAAGGCTGTCATTTCTAGTGTGAGTACAGTATATATGAAATAGTGTAGTGTTCATTTTATTTTATGTATATGTGTAGGCATTTTGATGGCGTTTCATAAATTTTTTCTTGATAATTCTTTAATTTTTAATTGGTCTGGCATGGCCAGGTGGTTAGGGTGCTAGACTCGCAATCTGAGGGTCACTGGTACGAATCCCCATCACACCAAACATGCTCGCCCTTTCAGCCATGTGGGTGTTATAATGTGATGGTCAATCCCATTATTTGTTGGTAAAAGAGTAGTCCAAGAGTTGGCGGTGGGTAGTGATGACTAGCTGCCTTCCCTCTAGTCTTGCACTGCTAAATTAGGGATGGCTAGTGTAGATTGCCCTCGTGTATCTTTGTGCGAAATTCAAAAACTAACTAACTAAAAGATTCAATTTAAACAAATAAATTATTTCAAATGTTATATCCTTTTCTTTGTGCAACTTGTAGAAAAAGAATTAATTTATTTTTGCAGATGGGTGAATTATGAAAAATTTAGTTTTGGTTAAATCATTTATACATGGAGATTTCCGACATAAAAGTAATATATAGGTTCGATATCATGGAAAAAGATGTTTTCAATTAAGATATTTCTAGTGCCAAGACAATACACCCTAAATGGCATAGAGATATGATAATGAAGCTGTTAGATTTCGATGAATAGTGCAAACTTTTTTTAAATGTTTCATTTCAGTGATTATAATAATAAATTGAACATTTCAATGACAAGTAACTGTTGACATTGGAAGTTGCAATTCTGTATTCTTCTGTATATTCAGGTTCTTTATTTATTAATTTTTAATTCTTTGTAAAAAAAAAAAGTATTAAAATAAGAATAATATCATCCCAAAACTTTACTTTTGGAGAGTTTCCTAGCAACAAGTCCTTGTGTAGCTTTGCATGAATATCACAGACAAATTAGTTTAGGGACAGCTAGTGCAACAAGTCCTTGTGTAGCTTTGTATGAATATCACAGACAAATTAGTTTAGGGACAGCTAGTGCAACAAGTCCTTGTGTAGCTTTGTATGAATATCACAGACAAATTAGTTTAGGGACAGCTAGTGCAACAAGTCCTTGTGTAGCTTTGCATGAATATCACAGACAAATTAGTTTCGTAGCTGATATCTTCACAGACACTAAAAAATATTTAGAAAAATAATTATGCTAATAAAAATGTCTTTAATCTATCATTTATATGCAGTAAGTTGAGTGAAAGCCATTCATAAGTGCACTTATTTATCCATTAGTGTCTTTAGAGAAAGAATAAAATGATTTAGACTGACATCTTGAACTTCTTTTCAGAATGTTGTAGCTTTTATAACATCCCACATGTTTCGAAATCTTAACGAAGTGCTCTTGTTTATTATTATGTTAGAGGTTTCATATTTTAAAGAATCATAAACTAAAAGGAAATGCTGTAATCTTCACTTCAATTTATTTTCCAAAAATTTGTTGCTATTATAACATCCACTAAAATGGTGCCAAAATGCTGTAGTTAGTTTTTTTTTTAGTTTAGGGACAGCTAGCAATTTGTCTGTGATATTCATACAAAGCTACACAAGGACTTGTTGCACTAGCTGTCCATAAACTAATTTGTCTGTGATATTCATGCAAAGCTACACAAGGACTTGTTGCACTAGCTGTCCCTAATTTTGAACTGATAAACTAGAGAGAAATCAATTAGTCAACAGTACCCACTACTAACTCCTGAACTACTCCAATT